GCCTTCCTAATATGAGGTGATATTTGACTCCTTAAAGTGATTTACAGGGGCGTTTTTTTTTTTACCTTTGCTGTCAAATCAAAAAATGTATGTTTATAAGCTTTTTAAAAGTTCTATTTAAAAATATATAATAAGAAGTAGAATAAGACAAATAAGTTAGCAATCATATGAAATTAGTATTAATAAAAAATGTATTTCTACTACAGAGGGTGCACAGAAGAACACAAACGTGGCTTGTAGGTGAGTCATTCCACGAAACCGGTATGATTTGGACTTACACATTTTTAGATTTTTTACTAAAATGTATTACTTTTCTGAACACCTCACAACATTAATGACATATTTCGAAGAGACAAATACATCTTAACATATAAATGGCTGTTTTTACTCAAATTCACTGTAAGATTTTCTATAAACACTGTATTTCATTATGTAACCAAGAAAGACAACAGACAGAAATTGCAATTGAACAGTTTTATTAACCTGACTGCAGGAAAAACAACAATAACTTAGTATACATTAGAGCATTATAAACTGACTGAATACAGTGCATCCGGAAAGTATTGACATGACAAAATAGGTGGTGTCAACTGAAAAAAACAAGAGAATTTCAAATATAAAGATAAAATGTATGTCATGTTTTTAAACCTTATTAAAGGAGACATTTCAATTAATACAAAAAGCTTTTAAAAATAGATTTCGGTGACCCAACAGATAAAATACACGTAGAAAGGTCAGAGGGACTCAAATCGTACCGGTTTCGTGGAATGACTCAAATGCCCTATTAGCTCTTTCAATTGATTCGTTTGAACAGCTGATTCATTCAGGAATAAAACAAGTCTTTATGAACGGGTTATCATGAATCACTGACTCACTAGATTCGTTCAAAAAAGCAACTTTCATTCATGAATGAAACACCAGTGTTTGCTTTTAGAGATGCGAAGCGGCTGAGCTGTTACTTTATTTGGAACTATTTTCGTTGATGAAAGAGAGCAAAATCAGACAGTACTTGTTTATTGAACTGTTGTATTAAATCAATATCACATTTGCAAACTCCTTTAATAATTATTAAAAGTTGTCACTCTCCTTATCGCGATCTGTGGGCGCACAGAAAATGAGAGCGCGCGATTGAGTTCTCAAGACTCAAAAGCACGTGCAAATGATAAGATCCGTCATCTGTCATTGTGTTATAAGCGCGGAACCCGCGGGAATGAGTACAATTGTTATTAATAGCCGCAATCCCACGCCGAAATTCAAGTCCTGCTCTGTGTTCTCTGCTAATAACCCGACTGTGAATGATGCGAGCGGCGTCACTATGTTGTGAGAAGCTGCAGCCATGGCAGGGATGATTTTTGGTGTGCCGACAGAACAACAACAGCAATGCGCTACGTGTTTCTTCTCCCCTCATTTTTTTCAATTGACGGAAATCCGTTGTAGCGATGGAAAACTTTAATCCCTGTATATACAATATTAGAATGTTTGCGGGAGCGGGACACACACGTTGTGGGAGCAGGCGCTAATGGTCAGAAATTCAGCGGGAGCGGGCTTAAGAAAACTGTCCCGCTCAGGGCTCTAGGCTGGGCACATCAACACACACGTTAAGGTTTTTTTGTTGTTGTGGCGCTACCCCATCTCCACCCCCAATCATTAGTGCTGTTTCTTTCTTTGACAGAACACGTAGGACAATTTTTGAAATAGCGCCATAAACAATTTATTTCAAATTTAATTCAAGCACTTTCAAGGACCTATGTTTGTTTTCAAGTACTTTCCAGGCCTTGAATCCATATGTCTGAAATCCAAGTACTTTCAAGAAGCGTGGGAACCCTGAGTTGATTAAAAAGGACAGATTTATGGGAATTTTCAACAGCTGTTTTATTTGAAAATCATTTGTGAACTCCATAGTCTGTTCATGAGCTCTAAGCTTGAGCTGGAGCAGGAGCAGCTGCAGGCTTCTTGGCCTTGGTTTTCTTCACAACCTTCTTTTTCTTGGGTTTCAGCATCTTGGCCTTGATCTGCACAAAATGTACAGATTTAGAAATTGCTTAGCGTGTTATCAGACTATAGTGACACTTATGGGTCATGAGGGTACTTACGTCAGGGTTGTGTGCCAGGATAGCATGGCGACGGGCTGTCTTGGCATAGGGGTTGAGCTTCATCATCACTCTCAGGTTCTTCAGAGGGTTCTTTTTGAGCACTCTGCGATTAATCTTGCGTCTGCAATTGTATAAATCTTGTTACTCTACTTGTACTGTAGACTAAAAAAAAAAAGCAAGATGGCTCAGGACTTCCATTACAATCATTAGTAAGAAACACGGGCCTGAGGTAGGAATCTCATCACTGCAATTATGTTGGCAATATAGGAGGTCAAAGAAACCAAAACGTACTTAGCAGGACGAAGTGCCTTCTGGACCTCCTCGCTCTTCAGGATTCTGTGCAGATCTGTGTTGTTCATTTTGTGCATGGGCAAGCTGGAACATGAGAAGGCAGTAAGTTAATGCTCAATATCTACAAATTTTAAATATCTAGGTTTCATTGCATCTGAACAAGTGGGGTTTCAGACCACTATATTTTTCACTCAGAACTTCTATTATGATCATTGTGTTCATAAACACGGACAGAGTATAAGCTCATCACTGTTGTTCAAGGCACAAGCAGACAAGGTTAAGAACGAAGGGTAAGGGAACTCTCACTTGTAGTCAACTTTAAGGGAGGAGGCTTTGCGCCAAGTGCCATAGAGGTCATCCAGTTTGCGGAATGCACCCTCAGTCCAAATGCAAAAGCGTCCAATGTGTCCACCTGGAGCAAGCTTCAACAGGTCCAGTCTGCTCACGGACTGCAGTGTGATGCCTGGAAAATAGACCACGTGGTTAATAATTTTGCAATCACCTAGATCAACAAATTTTTTTGTGTTATCAGTTAGGGATCAGAGCTTCCACTGAAATCATAGGATTCATTAACACGGACCAGAAGTGGATATCATCATGTTTAAAGTGTGTTCATGTGAAGTAACCGCAAAATACAAGATCACTTCTCGTACCAGGGATGTTTCTGAAAGCTCGTGTCACACCGTTGTCTTCGTTGTAGATGATGCATGGTCCCTTGCGCTGGATTCGCCTTCGGTTCCTCATCTTACCCTTACCGGCACGCATACGCTGAGAAGCATAAACCTAGAGACCAGAAATATGCATCAAAAAGAGTTCATGTTGGTAAGCATTTGATGTAAAAGACGTAAAAACATTTTCAGTCAGAGTTTGACAGTAGCTCACCTTCTTGATGTCGTTCCATGCCTTAAGCTTCTTCAACAGAAGCACAGCCTCCTTAGTCTTCTTGTATCCCTCAACTTTATCATCAACAACAAGTGGGACCTCAGGAATCTCCTCAATGCGGTGACCTGAAACATTTGCCATTTGTTACAAGTCAGGAAAACCAAAAAAAAAAAAAGTTTAAATGCAATATCAAATATTCTATATTGACTGCTGTGCTCAGCCATCGAAAGGGAAACACCAACTGTTTGGTTCAGCCCTTCTGCAAACTGAGGTTTCTCTTGCACTGAATTGACAGCAGAATGCCAATAGGTGGCAGCCCACATCATATATACAGTGCACACAGGCACTGTCATTATAAGGGCTCCAGGGAGACCCCAACTAGTAGAAAATGAAAGGACTATGAAGCTCTGGACACAATGTGCTCACTCACCTTTGGCCATGACCAGGCCAGGCAGAGCGGAGGCAGCCAGGGCAGAGCAGATGGCATAACGCTTCTGGTTAACGTTAATCCTGCGGTGCCAACGGCGCCAGGTCTTTGTGGGGGCAAACATGCGGCCACCACGACACATCTACAGTGAAGTCAAGGGTCAACATTTCACACGAAAGACCTGTTCACACAAAGGTGAATATTCTGTGCGAAAATTTGATGCAATAAGCATCTTGATTTGAATCAACGGCTGTGACGTTCTCTTCATAGAAAGCTGTTCTAATCTCTTTTCCAATACACTGCGAAGAAAACTGGCCAACAATTTGTGCTTTGTCACATGCCAAGAGCTGTTGCCGTTACATACAATTTGGCAGCACTCACGAACAGACTATTTCGTGAACAGCAGAGGAAGAATCCTGAACTGGCTCTCCTGTCTCTGTGCTCTTCTTTTAGGAGTTATTTGATAAACACCATAGCATATACAAAAATCTGAGCAGCTCTTTGAAAACTCGTAAACACTGTTTGACTAACTTTGTGTTGCACAGAGTTGTTTGTGTATTGTAGTAACTAGGGATGTGCGGGTCTAGTCGACTAAACGGTACAGCTCCTACTAGTCGACGCTGAAACGAAGACCCACTTCGGTGGTGGTGGTGCGGGATGTCCACGCGCTTTCTGAAACTCTATCGGCTTGCTTTTC